GCGATTATAGGGCCGCAGGTTAGGAAAACACAGACACCCAAAAACCCGTAAGCATGAGTAAGAGGGCGGAGACCGATGCAAGAGGTAGTGAGGAGACTTATCAAACAAGACACGAGTGGGCATTTTATTGATAAGATACACAGCAGTTTCGAAGGCATAATCCCAGAAACGAGACGGAACAGAGGATTGGGCCATTAACGCCAGTCCCGTTTCGACAACATGGCGATGCTTGCGTTCTACTCTGCCATTTTGTTCATGAGTATACGCACAGGACTACTTGTGTCGAATACCCAATGACGCGAGAGTCGAACCAAGCTTTTTGTATTCTCCCCCTAAATCAGACTGAAAAGACAGAATTTTACGAGAGAAGGAACGTTCAACAAGTGACCGAAACTTATCAAATATCGCATATAAATCAGACTTAGCTCGCATAGGATAATACATCACGTAACGAGTGTAATCATCCATAAATAATACAAAATATTTAAAGCCATTTGCATAAAGTATCGGCGCAGGGCCCCAAATATCTAAATATATTAATTTTAAAGGATGCGAACTAGTACATTCAACACGCGATAAAGGAAAACGAGACGACTTGCCTAATTGACAAGAGGAACAAATATTGGGTAGATCACTGGAATTAAACGAACTAAGACTAGAAGAGGCTAACACTTGACGCAGGACCCGAGAGTGTGGATGCCCAAGCCGCATATGCCAAACGAAAGAGGACCGTGTAGCAACGAAAGCAACGGGAGCCAGACGCGAGGCAGGACATGCATATAAACCCCCGAACGCATGCCCCTTAAAAAGAAACACGAAGGGTGAAATTAAAAAAAAAAAACATTATTTTCTTTAGCAAAACGCTGAACAGATAATAACGAAGAAGATAAACCAGGAACATGCAAAACATCAGACATACAAAACGACCTAGAATTAGTGGCTAACGAAGTAGAACCAACAGTAACAATAGGCAAACCTGTACCATTGCCGAACCGAAGTGTCTCCGGACCATCATATGTTGTAGAGGATGTTAATAAGGTGGGATCAGGGGTAGCATGATTTGTAGCACCAGTGTCGGGGAACCACTGATGAGAGTCGTCCACAGGACGATCCACACCAGAAACGACAACATTCACCTGAGGATTTGGATCAGGAGTGAAACGACGCCAACACGCCGTAGCTATATGCCCTTGCTTGTTGCAAATCTGACACCGAGGGCCTGAGTTGGACCGCCTTCGGCCACGACCACCGCGCCCCCTGCCGCGGCCGCCACCACCTCAGTTTTGCAGACTGCCACCGCGGCCGCCGTGACCTCCACGGCTTACGACCAAGGCTGTCGGTGCGCCGAGAGCCGCACCGTCGTCCGAACAGATCCACTCCTGCGAAACAAGAAAATCCGCAACCTCCGGGAGGGGAACAGGCGCACCACGGGCTAGGGTTTCCACCAACGGTCGGAACTCCGGGCGTAAACCGCGAAACACATATAAATTCTGATCATCCAACTCAACATGACGACCAGCGATGGCCAATTTATCAATCAACATTTGGGCACGACCAAGGTAATAAGATATTGAGGAATCACCTTGACGGAGCCCCTGAAGTTCGCCGAGTAGTCGGAGTGCACGAGAGCGGGTAGACGAACCTAGGGTTTGTTCGATTACCTGCAAAAGCTGCCGAGAGGTGCCCTTGCCGACGGCGAAACGAAGAGTCTCCTCGGACAAAGAGGAGATGAGCATGGAGAGGATGGCCTTGTCTTGCCGACACCAAGCGAGCTGCCGGGCGGGGAGATTGGAAACCCGCCACCGGGGCGCTGTCCGCGATCGACGTTAGGGCTGGCGATGCCGTCGGAAAGGGTGTTGTACCATCAACAAACCCTAGAAGCCCTTGGCCTTTAAGAAACGGAAGCATCTGAGTTCGCCAGAATAGATAATTTCGGGAGGTCAACTTTAAAGAAATGAAGTGATGAGCCGATGACAGCCTACCACTCGCAGGCATCGTAGGAATCTCGGTAATGGTCCGTTCAGAAAAACCAAGAACAGAGCCGTCATTAAGGGTCCGTTTGGAAAACAGGAAAATGACTTCTGGAAAATGAGTCATTTTCCAGAAGTCATTTTCTTTTCCTGTGTTTGGCTGAACAATGGAAAACTGTCTTTTGGTGTTTGGTTCATTTTCCAGAAAATGATGAAAAACTGTCTTTTGGTGTTTGGTTCATTTTCCAGAAAATGAACATAATGGTATACTTAAACATTTTAATTGTTATATACCGAAAAATATATTTTTATTGTTTTTTGTATAATATAACAATTTTTATTTCAAATTCCATGCTACATAAATTTTGGTTGTATTTAATTCGAATGTCTTTGCTCTCAATCTATCTTTCTAGTATTAAAACTATATTGTCATAATATGGCAATTTGAAACCACAATTACATGTTAGAAACAACATAAAGGAATCAACAAAATCAAGTCTTGAAAATTAAAGTCCACAAAGTCTTAGGATCCAATATAATCAAGTATTAAAGATCCAACATAACCAACCAACTACAAAGCATACATAAAAATAAGTCTTAAATATTACAATCCAAGTCTTAACATCCATGTTAACCAACAAAAAAGGCATAGATAATTTAATCCGATCCGAAGAAGAAATAAATTTCTCAATCAATTTCCTCTTCAAACTTGCATTCTTCGCCTTGAAAATCCTCGCCTGGACCTCATTTGTCGTCAAGTATTCAAATGCCTTACATAGGTCATCCTCATGAAAGCCATCACCTATGCTCATCACATCCGCAAACAACTGATTTTCATCAATGCCAGTATTCAAAGATTTAATTGCCGTGGCAATGCTACCAAGTTGTTTAGCAATTTCATCCACCTTCAAGTCAAGTGACTTTCGCTTACGACCGGATCTTTGAGACAACGCAGTTGATGCAGATGTTCTTCCCCTACTTTCTTCATCATTTCCTTCAGGCAGGGTTTCATCATTGTTATCCGGCAACATCTCATCATGAGGGCCATCTAAAGTAACATCTGCAAAAGATTTTGCAAAGCGTCCTATGGCACAATCTCTGCCAGCGACAATGGACATCTCATCGTAGTAGTCAATCTTCCTGTTCAACAATGTTTCATACTTGGGAGTTGCCTATAAATAAATAATAAACATGAGATATTTTCTAATAAAAAACATTAGATTTATGCAATAGTCAAATTATGATAATAAAATATTACTGTGATAAGCTCAATATACGGGGCTTCATCACATGTAATCATTTTCAAATTATCATCCCATCCAAGACCACTCATGCCCTTCAGCTTGCATATCATCATCCATGTGTTCTTCACTATTTTAAAGTGATTCTCAACATGTTTGACTTCACATGCAACATTAAATTGTTCAGATATGGTAGAAGCAACACGATTGAATGAAGATGTTCTAAAATTGTTAGTTGGATTATTGGGATTCCTAGCCTCTTCAGATAATATCTTTAAAAATACGCCCTCCATTGGCTCTATCCACCAAAATTGTCTAGAAGTGGCAATTCCCTTTCCCTTATTCATGTTTCTATAATAACATAAAAACAATAACAACCAACGTCAACCAATGAAACATAATATCCATTAATAAAGCATACTCAAGTCCATATAATAATATCCAATAACAAAGCATAATCAAGTACACAACAATAAGAAATGTTCAACAACTAATAATATCCAATAACAAAGCATACTCAAATATATGAAACTAGACACTAGTTCCTAATAATAAATTCATTCCACATTTGTTCTGCGATCTCATCTCTCTTTGCATTCCATTGTCTAACTTCTTGTCTTTTTTTTCTGTTTGCGTATGAGATAAGGGCAACAAGTTATCGTCATCAACATCAACTGTTGCTTGATTAAGCTCATCATTAGGATCAACTCCCATAATATGGTTATGAATTATACAACAAGCTAAAACTATATCCACTTGTGTCTGGTAATTCCAAAAAGGTTCAGCATCTAACACTAGTACATAATTGCAGATAGGCAACCATTGTAAAAGACAATAGGCAACCATTGTACAATGGTTGCCTATGGGACGCTCGCGGAAAGGCATTGACTTTACGCGACCATTGTGAAATGGTCGCGCATTGTCAGTAATACGCGACCACTCTTGACCAAGAATGGTCGCGTATTGTTTTTTTATTTTTTTTTACAAAAGTTTTACGCGACCATTCTTAGATAGAAACGGTCGCGTATTGTTGATTTAAAAAATAAAAAAATAAAAAATAATTTTAAAACTATATTTATTTTACACCATGTACAATTACATATTTACAATTCTAAATTAAAAATAATTGAAAGCTACAAAAGAAAATATTATATTTTAGTTTCCACAAAAGAGCTATTCAAAACAGAAGTAAAGGAAAAAAGATGTAAAAATTGATTGCATATCATGTTGCACACCTCTGTATTTCTAGATTGAATATATACACATCTCCAAAGCAATTGATAGCAGCCATATAGCAATGTAAAAATAATACTCCAAATATAAAGTTATGAGTTATATTAATAAAACATTGCTAATAATTAGTGTGCCAAAATTCATTCAATCTTCAGGATAACAAAACCATAAAGCAAAAGCTGACAACAATAATAAATGAGCATCCTTAGTTCTATGTTTGAAGGGCTTTAAAAGCCATCCAATGTAAAGTTGAAACTTACTAAGGCTCAGAATCTACTTGATCGTCTTCTTTGGCCTCAAAAAATAATAAAGTATTAAGAACAAGGGGAGTTTTGTAGGTGCATAGCCATAAATAGAACACTTAATAATTAAACAATATTACCACAACAAACTTTATGTTAGAGACAATATAAATACTTGGATGACAAGTGCCTGCTCTAAACTTAAAGTAATCACTTCTACATTATGCCATTATGGAACAAAAACCAATCATAAACAAAAACCACATGTTTCAACAATGTAAACAAGGTATTACTAAAACAGCCAAAAGCTCACCCAAAGCCAGGTTTATCACCAACACTCATTGCAGACAACTTGGTTGTTAGCTCATCAGACACATATGCAAGTGCTTTTTCCAAATCCTTGTCATTGCAGGCATCATAGTAACAGCCGCGGGTAATAGAATCTACGACAATGTCCCTCCAAACCATACCACTATTGATCAAGGTCGCACCGTTACCCAAAACCCAAATTAAAGGCAGTATCTGCAAAACACCAACAAAAATGGACAATAATAATGCATACTTAACAGTATAACACACTGATTTTACTTGCATTGTAACACAGTACCTAGCCTGAGTCAGGGCGACATTTGTGCGCTGGAAGTTGGACAATAACCCCACTGCTCCTCTTCCATTAGATCGAACCGTTGATATGATGATCACGTCTTCTTCTCCGCCTTGAAACCCATCTACAGATCGTACATTCACCGAGAAGTCACTCTCCACATCTGTGCTGTATTTCTTGCCAAGTTTTTGTTTGATGGCAAAGACCTGAGCTTTGTATGGTGATATGCAGCCAAGACGAACTCTTTTGTGGATGAGGATTTGTAAATCTTGGGGCCCTTTTTGGGATAAGAATAACTTTTGTTTCTTAAGTTCCTTTTCAGTTAGTTTGAACCCCTTTTCTTGTCGTCTAATATAGCTCCACCTTGCTACTGATACTCTTTCTGTGACAAAAAAGAGTAAAAAAGTAAAAGTAATCAACTAAAATAACTTGAAAATGTTTTGTTTGCTTTTTAATTGGTTTTTTGGTTTGTTCAGAAATATACTAAGAACATAAAGAAATGTACTTTTATAGTTAGTCTATAAAGGAACGGGTCAGCTGGTAGAGAATAGATTAGATGTCATGGGAGCACAGGATGGAGTATATGGGTACCAGGATGGGTGGAGTGGGTGAAGAACACTAAGGTATGGAGGGGTGATTACTGAAGATTAGATAAAACTTAAAAGTCAAAGTTATGTGTATATCTGGGGTAGAATCAAAGATGTTGTGGAAGGATATGTAGTAGTCAGAGGAAGCAGTGGTGTACTTCAACATAAGTGTGGATGGTTGGGTGGGATGAAACTGAGATGGATATGGAGTTGGCTAAAAGAAATAAGGTGGGGGTGGGGGGTTGGGTGAAAGTTAGGGGGTGTGCAGTTAGAAAAGAGAGGAGCTGGTGGATTAGGTTGGAGTTAAGTGCAGTGGGATTAAGGTGCCATGAGAGCACAGGGTGGGGAGCAATATGGATACTGGGATCAGTGGGGTAGAGAGGAGGTACATGGATAATGGGTTCATTGGTTAATATACTTATATGTATAAGTTGAAAACAAAAACAGGAAAACAACTCTATTTTTTTTAATTTTTGGAAACATGCAAATGTTTTTAAAAATAAAAATAAAAAACAAGAACATTACTTAACAGTGTTTGAGTTGCTACTTCACTGAACAACTCCTTTGTTTTGTAGTCAAAGAAAAGAAAAAACAAAATATATTTTAGTTATGTTTAAGGGCTTGCAAGGAACAATTGTCCCAGTGTGTAATTTGTACTACTAACTCATCCTTAGCACAACAAAGTTTCCTCTTTCTAAATCTAAATGATAATGAGGAGAAGGATAGGGCATTTAGGATCCATCATCTTTTATCTCTTACCTCTGTTATCTACACAAAATTAGCTGTAAGTTTGTATCTAAAAAGAACAACCGTTAAGTCAAAAGGATATCAAAGCTGAAATGAATCCAACACCAACACCTGCAGCATCAGGATTATGCAGTTAGAAGACACAGAATAAAAGGCTTTCCTTTTGAAACTTTATTAGAAATACTCGAGTTTAGATAGTCAATTGCAACAGGACTATCAAAATAACATTGCAGATAGAATAGTAGTCTTGTCTCATCAACAAAGTGCACACATTTTAATATAGTTGTTATGCCCCTATATACATGAAAGCACAGACATAAGGCATCCATTCTAACCCAAATTTATGGAGTAATTTTGAATATCTGAAGATACAAAATATTTGAGCAGGTGTTTTAAATATATATATATATATATATATATATATATATATATATATATATTGAGCAGGTAATGCCGTAATGCTCCTAATATTACATCAATTTTCTTTCTATATTACGGAGTAATAAATTTGGATCCTGTCACCCCCCTTTACTTAAAATATAAGTCCTTTGATAGGGAGAAAAGAACCTGTTAAAGTCCTTTTCATGTCACTAAGAGAGTATGCAAAACTTGTCAAGACTAACCTGCTGACATTGATCCAAAAAATGTCTCTATAAATCGGACAGTGATCATAAAAAAGTTCTGTCCAGACGAGGTATTGCTTCTCACTAATGACATTGTCCTACAAAACAATAAAGTTTCCAAGACTTCATTGAATATCCACCATTAGTCTAATTAGAAAAGCATTTCAACTAAACTGACCTGTATAGAGAAATTGCCATCTTCCAATTGTGCAACACAAAAAGATTTTTAAAAAAAAAAAAGAAGAAGAAGCTAATTAGCAAAGAGAATTACCAAACTCCTCAAGGAACCTATTGTATAACTAAAACTAGAACATAATAGAAGAAAGAAACAACGAACTTACTGCATCATTTAAAACAGATTCACCAAACACCAATGCGTAAAGGTTGACATCTGTGCCAAGCTCCTGCAATATTTAAAGAAAGATAAATTACTCAAGATATAAAAAAACAATATAATAATTAAAGAAGAAGAAGTTAAAACTCAATGGGTCAAATGGTTAACTTGATCGCAGGAAATTAGTTATATAAGGTGACAAGTGATATAATTATTAATCACAAACCACTACCATTTTCTTTTCTTCTTTTGTCACATGACTGCATACATGTAATCAATATCTATATCTATCTATCTACACACACCCAAAGAAATAGATCCTAAGGCTCATTAACCCCAGACAATCATATCAGAAGGACTACATTACAGAAATTATCAATGAACGAGTGTAGAGCGTAACCTGAAATATGGACAGAACAGTGACAGGATCGGTTGCTGATATAAGGGACCCAAACTTCAGACACTCAAGAAAAGGAAGTTTGTATATGAGTAAAATCACTCCGCCAATGTAACTGCAGCCAAGTTCATTAAAAATAAACAAATTTCATTTTTAGAAAAAGAAAGGAAATGGAACAAGAATGAACATAGAAATGTCAAATAATTCCAAAATGATGGTGGAAATTCAAAACAAAAATATCAGTGTTGTACTTACACCAAGACACCTGTAACCATTGAAGCAATAAATGTTCCGAATATGGCAAATGTCACAATTGCTCCAAAGTTTGAAAAGAACGGTTTCTGAAAATTGCATATATGTGAGATAATACAGTCACATCTTATATTATAAAAATAAAATTAAAAGGCTCCATTTAAAGTACACTGACAAGTACAATTTGTAAAAACTTACAGGAGCCAAACTGAATCCTGACTGAGTAGCACCGAAAGTCAGGGAAACAACCTTTGCTAATCATTTTATCATTTAGAAAAAGAAACCAGAAAATATAAGGCTACTGCACAAACTAAATTCTCAATGAGGATATAATATGATAGGAGGCAACAAAAAGAGGAAGAAAAATTCCTCGTGAAAGTTAAACCATACCCTGTCATGACAAAGATAATACAAAGACACGGGTACAGTAGAGTTTCATTGATTAATTAACATTGTGCTATATTGCGCATTATTATAAGAGAAAATTGCATCTTTGGTCCCTGAGTTATACTCAAGTTCCGACTCAGTCCCTGAGTTATGACCGTATGCATTTTTAGTCCATCAGTTATGAACGAAGTGGCGCATTTAGTCCCCGACCGTTAAAATTGATGGAAAAATTAAAAAATATTTAAAATTTGAGGGTTAAAGTAGAAAATTAAAACATTTTATTCTCCTTCTTATATCAAAACAACTTTCACAACATTATTTTTCACTTCTTAGCCTCTTATTTCAAGATTGTTCAGTTCTAAAAACATTTCAATAACTTTAGTATGACTTGTTAGGAACCTGACACTTGTATAACAAACTTAAGACTTAGCACAAACAAAGAAACATTTGATCATTGTCTCCAGACGTGTAAAACACACTATCCTATCAACTTTCAATTTTCAATTTTCTTTACTAAGCAACAAAATTATCAAACCAGAACTTTTGAGATACAAAATGATGTCAAATTTTTCAAGTTGCTTTTATGAGAAATTCACCAACGGAATAACTTGAGATTTTTAGTATGTAAAATTTTTCATATGCAGTAGTTTAGTCAATAATCGTTTTTAGAAGTTACAAAAGTTTTTTAAATTTTCATAACTGAGTCTTAGGTTCCTCATTCATTACTCTGGTTTTAATAAAACAGAGGAGGTGATATATATATATATATATATATATATATATATATATATATATATATATATATATATATATATATATAGAGGGATGCACTCAGGTGTGAATAAGTGCCCAAGAAGGAATATGCGAACGAATCAGCACGCGACACGTGTCCAGATCTAATAACTTAAAAAAACACAGTGGCATTTTCGTAAATAATTGGACATCGAAGTGCAAGTAAAATCACTTACAAATGCACCTACTTTCACCTATAAGTGCATGTAATTTTGCCTTGTTAGCATTTCGAGGTGAAAATTATATATATATATATATATATATATATATATATATATATATATATATAATTTTCATATATTGTCAGGATATACGATTCTTTAAGTTAATGTAGTGCTTACGAAAGAATTTTACGTACTAAAAATCTCAAGTTACTCCCTTGGTGAATTTGTCTTAAAAATAACCTGAGAAATTTTATATCTTCTTGTATTTCAAAAGTTACGGTTTGATTACCATTATGTTTAGTATTATGGGAAATCAAAAACTTTTAGGATGATGTGTTTAACATGGTTGAAGACAATGATCAAATGTTATCTTGTTTGTACTGAGTCACAGGTTCCTTATACGGGACTCAGGTTACTAACAAGTCATACGAAAATTATTGAATTGCTTTTGGAATTGAAGAAACTTGAAATAGAATATTATAAAGTTGAAAATAATGTTGCAAAAGTGGTTTCAATATAAGAAAGCGAATAAAATGTGAATTTTTTACTTTACCCCTAAAATTTTAAATATTTTTTAATTTTTTCACCAATTTTAATGTTCGGGGGCCAAATGCGCCACTTAGCTCATAACTGAAGGACTAAAAATGGATACGGTCATAACTCAGGGACTGAGTCGTCACTACCATTATAACTCAGGGACCAAACTCGCCATTTTCCCTTATTATAATTAAGAGAATATCTCCATTTTGAACAACTCTCATGCCAATTTTATTCTCTATTTTAGTAGCTTGCAACCCTGGAGCATCTTTCTTTACTATGGATCTGCAGCAAACAATGAATTGAGGATGCATATATATGTGAGAACCAAATTAAAGTAATTGAAGATGGATGAACATATAGGATCTGATCTGATGTAGTATAAAAGCTAGATTGCTCAGATGATCGATCTATCTGTGGTCTACTACTATACTTACGCATTGATCTTTTTAGTAGTGGTGTTTCTAGCAAAAATAATGAGTATATTTGCAAAAGTGCTGTTTCCAATCCAACACTTTTGGCCTTCAAGGATCCAACCTCCTTCAACCTGCACAGTTCAAGCCAGATATATACATGAAAGATGATGATCTGATGATGAACATAAATCATATATATCAAACAAGAGTATATTATATATATGGTAGGCTCGAAATTACTATAATATATGCAGACCTTCTTTGCGGTTGTTCTCAAAGCACTTGCATCACTTCCGTAGTCCGGTTCTGTCAGACCCTAATTAATAAAGTACAGTACAGAGATTGCACGCAGATGATAATGAAGTTAATAATTACAAATTAAATTAAATGGTTAGATGTGAATATATATATATATATATGCATATATGCGGAGGAGTACAGTAGATTAAACTTAATTATTCTTACCAAACAACCCACACTTTGAAGTTTGGCCATGGATGGCAAATACTTCTGCCTTTGAATCTCAGATCCACATACTCCTATAATTATTTTTATTATTGAGTTATTATGAACACGCACAAGGTGAGAGTGGGCTTGGTCGCCGCCAACGGCGTGGTGGCGGTGGTCGCCGGGCGAGAGCAGCGGCGTTCGGAACGGAGTAGATCGGCGAGACGGCGAGAGTATGAGATCGATGGAGTATGTGGTTTGAGAGGTAATTTCGATCTGATATGGGCACTGTAGATCTAGGGTTAATCTTAGGCAACCATTTCTATTAGGAATGGTTGGCTGTTATAAAACAAGTTCTATTTTAAGGTAACCATTTCTATTAGAAATGGTTGCCTATTATATATCAATTTTTTTTAAATAAATACAAAATACAATGGACAACCATTACAGTTAACAATGGTGGCGGATTATTGATCACTTATTTACAAAATTGCCACTGCGAATTTTTGGGCTAAGATTAGGCAACCATTCTTTCAACAATGGTGGTCTATGATCAATCTTCTATGTTCAATTTTGTACTAGTGTAACACACGGAACCGTTTCTTCAAAATTCCAAACACTCTCTCAATAGATGTACGTAAGGACGAATGACGAAGATTGAAAAGTTCTTTCTTATTCTCAGGACGATGAGCACTAAACTCTTTCAAATGGTATCTAACACCATGGTATGGAGTAAGTATCCCATTCCGTATGCCATATCCAGCATCACCAAGATAATATTTCCCTACAAGTTTACATAATTTGATTACTTATATGCAATAACAAACAACACAATGTAAAAAGTGATTACATAATTTTATTTTATACCTTCTTGAATTTTAAATTTATTTGGACGTGTGAGTGCATCGTTCAAGACTCGAGAATCATGTGCACTACCTTCCCACCCAGCTAGCACATAACAAAATCGCAAATCAAAAGTGACGGCAGCAAATACATTTTGTATTGTTCCACCCTTACGTCCGCGAAAACTTCCTTGCATATTAATTGGCACGGATGCACGAATATGGGTTCCATTATTGCTCCTAAACAATCTTTGAAATAGGGATAAAATCGCGGATTGCTAATGATTTCATGAGGAGTTACTTCACCGTCCGGTAATACTATGAGGTTCGTATACAAAGATAAAATGGCTCTCAAAACACTTCTAAAGTAACGGTGAACTGTCTCAATTGACCTATAATACCTTGACCCAATTACTCGAAATCGTACATTGTGACCTATTATATGTAAAAATATTAACACTTATTCCTTAATACTTACGGCTCTAGTTGTGCGTAATAAGTTCTTAGTAGCAAGAAGGTCACACAATTTATAAAAGGAAATAGGTCGCATTCTAATAACGCTAATGCATTTGTTATCACCCTCACACAAGATACTATTAATGTAACTCTCTCGATCATCATCTCTATTGACAATGTCATGTTCTATTTGGTTTCTATTCCTAAGTTGTTGCAATAGAAGAACTCTCATAGCCAGTATAGCACTTGCTGCACCCATAACAGTTGCACGCACATGATTTCTGTCCATCTATACACAAAAAATAATAATAATAATAATATGATAACAAATAACCACAATTAAAACTAACACATAAGTCATAACCACACAATAAGCAAATCATTTTATTATATAATTAGTTATCAAAATCAATAAACCAAATAAGCAGCAACCAAAGTGTATTATAAGTAGACCTGGCAATTCGTGTATACGAGTTCGTTAACGGGTCAACACGATAACGACACGAACACGATAAGACTAAACACGGATACGACAAGTTAAGGTTAACGGGTTAAAATTCTGAACACGAACACGAACACGATTTGTAAATGGGTTGACACGATAGACACGTTTTATTAATAGGTTTCGGGTCGTGTCGACACGATATGACACTAAACCCGTTTAAACCCACTAAACATATTCAATATATATTCAATCTATTCATATATATATAGAACCTACAATTCAATACATCAAACAAGCTAACAAAATATTCAACTCATAACTTTCATAAAATGATGAAATAACATCCAAAAATCATAATTAAAGAAGTTCATAATAATATTTTAAAACAAAATTAAACACAATAAAATTTAAATTGCATATTGTTGAACATCAATAATTCATCCTGATGTAATCAATTCTTCCACAGTCATATTCATGATATCTTCCGTAATCTCGTTCAAGTCGGTTTGTCCTGAATCTACAAATTTTCAAAATAAAACATTATAAGTCAATAAAAAAATTAAAAATAATTAATAATGAAATAAAGAAAAATAAACAATGATTCTATTTATAAACTTTATTTTTTAAAAATGGCATTACCTAAATCCCCATACAACCAATCTTTGCAACAGACAATTCCCTATACAACTTCTGGTTTAAGTGAGCTTCGGTATTGGTCAAGGACTTTACCGCCAATACTGAATGCAAACTCTGAAGCCACTGTAGACACTGGAACACTTAAGATATCTCGAGCCATGGCAGCAAGTTGAGGATACCGAAATTGATTTCCCTTCCAAAAATGCAAAATATTCAAGTCTACTTTTCTGTCAATTCTTTGCTCATCTAAATATATTTCAAGCTCAGACTTATTTTTTAAACTTCCAAATTCAGTGCATTCATAATTGTCAAATTCCTAGTTACATACACACACACACACACACACACACAAATACATATTAAAATAACTCCTAAAAAATTTGATATAAGAAAATTATTATATACATTATTACATAGAAAAAACTTACCTCAAAATCATCTTCATTATTCCCTGTGCCAACTGACTCATTGCCAAGATTCATATAATTTGATGAAACCTGTCTAGGAGAAATCTTGTGAGCATATTCATTGTAGAGAGAAAATAAGCTCTCCTTAACTTTTTTAAACTCCATAGAATCATGCCCATATAGCTTTTTGTAACTCCAATCAACAAAATGAATCTTGTAATGAGGATCCAATATCACAGCTATAGCTAAAATCAAGCTAAATGCAAACCAATACTTCTCAAATTTAGCAAACATTTGGACAACCATATTTCTCATACACAAATCATCCCCATTCTTTTGTTCTTCTAAAGTTAAGCGTGCCTTGAATATAGTAGGAAAATACAAGTTCGCTGTTGGATACTTGGTTCCAGAAAACACACAAGTAATCTCATAAAAAACTCCTAAGAACTTGCTTAGCTTCTCAATTCTATCCCACTCATCTTTAGATGGACAACGCTTATAATTTGAATCAGAACATCTTGCCTTAAACCTCTTTTTGTATTCAAACTCACTAAACTCACACATTCATGAAACTTTTGTTTTCTAACTTGAGAACCTTTCACATATTTAACGCTTTCCCTCACTTTTTTAACATCATTATCAACTTCCTTCAACCCCTCTTGCACAATCAAATTGAGAATATGAGCACAATATCTAAGATGAAAGTATTTACCATCATCTAAAAGTACATTTCTTGCATTCAAGTGCAACTGTAAATAATCAACAAAAGTATCATTGGCAGAAGCATTATCCAATGTCACAACAAACAACTTACTTTCAATTTCCCAATCAGCTAGTAATCCATAGACCTTTTCACTTAATGCAATACCATAATGTGGAGGTGGCATATAAGAAAAATTCAAGATTCTTTTTTGCAAAACCCAATTTCTATCAATAAAATGAGCAGTAAGACATATATACCCATCAGCAGTGACAGAAGTCCACAAGTCTGAAGTCAAACTAACGCTACCAGGTGTATCATCAAGCATGAATTTTATCTTATTCTTTTCTCTTCAGTGCAATTTAACCATATCAGCTTTAGCAGTATTTCTAGAAATAGTAGGCACATCATCCTTCAAGTAAGAGAAAACAGTTCGAAAACCACCATATTCCACAAAAGATAATGGCATATTATGCATAACGATTGTAGATATTAATAACTCCCGGAACTTTTCTTCACTAAATTTACTAGACCTCATTAACATAGATCCATTCTCACCACCGATAAGCATTTGACCTATGTCACGTGTGTTTTTCCTAACACAATTTGTAGTATGACGTTTTAGATTACCTGTCCCATACTTGCTGTCACAATTGATGAGAACTTCACAATATTTGCACTTTGCTTTGATTACATTCTCACTATTTGTATTCTTGGTAACCAAACGATCAAAATGATCACATACATGTGATCTCAACTTCCTTTTGCGTTTCACTGACTTTTGTGGATCTTTTTGTTCTTCTTCAATTTCTACACAATCATCTGGATCTTCAATTTCAACATTCATATTAGTAATATCTCCAATTTCCATTTGTCCTAACCTGTGAAATATAGTATAAATTTATTAAAAGTAGTACATAGTAAGTAAAGTTTTAAAACTTTCAATATGTAAATCTATAATATATAAGAAAAACCTACTGTAAAAACTAACACCTAATATAATCACAGAAAAAGCACAGAAAAAAAAAAGAAGCAGTGTAATCAATTTCATAACACAGAAAAAAAAAAAAGCACTGTAAACCTACTGTAAAAAAAAGCACAGAAAAAAAAAAAAACAACCCACTGTAAAACCTAACACCTAATATAATCAATTTCATAAAATTCTAAAACTCTCAATATGTAAATCTATAAGAAATTAAACACAAAGAAATACCGCTTTATATAATATATAAAGTTTGCATACATATACAGCTTATACGACAACTTTACCGCAAGAAAGTTTGCATACAATACATATAATATATACAATACAACTTTATAATATTATACAGAAAGAAATTAAACATACAACATTACAAATATTACGAACTTACCGTAAGTGACGATCAAAGTATTAGATTATTTGTTAAGCTTCAACCTTCAAGGAAGTATTTGGAGATTTATTGGTTGATTCTTGAATCCATTGAGTCTTTGACAATTTCACGCTGTAAGAAAATAAGAATGAAAGCAAAGTCTGAAATCTAAATATTCCTTAATTTCCATGGTAAAGATTTGTTTATAGACTAAAACTAACAAAATAAGAATAAAACTTTCCATATTCCAAGTCTTTTAGGGTTTTAGTTTTTAATTTCCTTTTATATTAATTATTAAATAAGTAAAATTATATTATAACAATGATTTTTAGCGGGTTATAAACAGGTTCGTGTAAACGGGTTAACACGATAATATTAACGGGTTAAATGGGTTTCACGGGTTGACCTGTTAAGACACGAATCATAACGGGTTCTTAATGGGTCAACCCGTTAACGACCCGGGACACGTTAATGCTAAACACTAACCCGTTATTTTTGTGTCCGATTTCGTGTCGTGTTAACGGGTCGTGTCGATAATTGCCAGGTCTAATTATAAGCAACAACCAATATACAAGTTCTTCACTGGTTATATATATATATATATATATATATATATATATATATATATATATATATATATATATATATATATATATAATGAAACCAGAAACCTTTCATCTCAAAGCCAGAATAGCTGTGTTTAAGTTCATGTACAATCAAGTCTACTGACATGGTATTGAAAAAAAACTATGTAGCAAACTAGCAATTTTTGTAAGTGCTACAATATATGTGTTCTTCACTGGTTTCCCCAGCCGGAAACCAGCCACTCGTTTCCGGCTGGGGAAACCAGTGAAGAACACAAAAATTCTTTCGGCTGTGGGTTTTCCTCCCCACAGCCGGAAAATAACTACACTCTTTATAGATCTATAAAATTCGGAGAAAAAAAATCAAACTAGAAAAAGATGAAATATATCTCTGTAGTTTTTCCAGTATTGGTGAAGCTTTTGTGGTTGTGGATTGTTGGAGGAGGAAGTGTTGGTGGAGTTGTGTTGCTAATGTTGAATGAGGAGGCAGAGCTGAAGTCTGGAAGAAGAAGTGAAGACTGAAGTACGCGTGATGGAAAATGACTTCCCCCCAAAAAAAAGGGAAGTCATTTTCCGAAAAATTACCTTCATTTTCCATTGACTTCTCCCCATTTTCCTTTGACCAGCCATTTTCCAATGTAGCCAAACACCAAAAACTCGGAAAATGATTTCCAGAAATCATTTTCCGGGTTTCCAAACAGACCCTAACATCGACGTTTTCCATGAGAGAAAACCTAGGTGATACCAGATGAGAATATATTTTCTGTATATTGATCAAGAGCAGCAGATACAAAGTATATAAAGATACGAAATAGAGATCTAGTCTAATACTACTAATATAATAGAGATCTAATCTAATACTACTAGTAGAGTCCTAATAGCTTTGTTTAAAATTTCCTGTAGAATTGTAGAATTGTGAAATATGAAGGTATATTGCAATTTTTATTGCATATTTCTTTCAGATGTCTTTCCAAAATATTTATGTGAAATATTTTTGATTGTTAGGAGATGTTACATGGAAGTTATGGTAGTTTAAAACTCCAACTTCCAAAAGATATATATCAAATAATATATCAGTCATGAAAAATATAATTACGTGAACCATGTACAACATATACATTTTCATAATATAAATGTACCTTCATATATTATGAGCTTCATGCAAAAAGTTGCATTAAACCACGTAAGATACACAACCCATCCGAAATGCTTGTACGCACATAATCCACCCGAATGGTTGTATGTACATAATCCATCCGAATGGTAATTTACCATTTCGAATGGCAATGTAATTTACACAGCCGAATAGTCACTTCCATTCGAATGGTAAATTCCATTCGAATGGTTAAATTCATTCGACTAAACAATTATTCAAAATTAACCTATCGGATGTTAGCCTCTTAGTTTTGGAACTGAGTACTATATGGTTCCAACTTTTCATAAAAATCCATATTTTTCAACTAACATTTTACCAAACTAAAATAATATTTATAACTCCACAACTCCAAATATTATTTAAGCTTTTCATGGTAGTACATTTGAAGCATTAATCTCCATTACTATATAAATTTCTAACAAAGACCGTGGTGTGCATGGACTACATTTGCATAGACAATCATTTGTTGGAGTCTTGGATCTTCATTGTCTAGACCATTGTCTATTAAGAATAATGGTAGCTACCATCGAAATGTATACAGGAGTTAGTATATCTTTGTTTTTGATGTTGTATTAATATATGTTCTATTCTGTTGATAACATTTTCCACAGTAGTATTCAACCCGACAATCGAGCCTTATTGACGAAAATTCCATGTTCGAACGATGGTGTTGATATAAATGACTTTGCACCTTTTATGGCAGGTTTGGTACGCGGAATAGGCCTGGAATGGAATAACATTCCCAGTAATATAAAATTTTATAAACACATTTCATTTGTTGTCTTTGTTTCCATGTATTTTTGTCATTACTTTATATTTAATGTGATTTTTTATTTTTTTTATTTTTTAAATTCTATTCTTAAAGCATTATGATGTCACATATTTCATTTTTTAATATATATATATATATATATATATATATATATATATATATATATATATATATATAATAAACTTTGTTGGTGCATTGTAGGGTGGAGTAGTAGTTGATATGAAATAGCTAATGAAAATAAGTGCATTTGAGCATTTATGATCACCTTCTTTGTGAAAGGTGATCGATGACCATTCACAAGAGCTAGTCCAAGCCTCGCTTTATCTCTAATGACTAGTTATTACAATCAATTTTTAAGCTTCAATGTACAAAAATAACATGTTGATTTGTTTAATTGCAACTTTTAAGGGTTCAAAGGTCTAATTGACATAATGACGTTTTGTATAAAGTTCAGATGACATATTTAATCATTTTCCCTTGACATTATATTTTGTGATATTATATTTAAAAATCATACTACAATTTTGATTTTGATTTTTTTATCAGAAAGAGGGTTGTAACCCAAAACAGCAAAAAGCAAAACTGCTTTCTCTAAATCATTCCCCGCGGTGAAATCTGGCACCCATACGGTCCTGTTGAACCGCCTCCCAAATGGCAGGAGGTGGCGCCTCCAAGAAAAGCATACCACCCTGATGTGAGAGAGACAGCGTAGCTAATAAATCTGCTACCTTGTTAAGCTCCCTGTACGCATGCTTGAATTCCACCAGCTCCAAGCTCGCAGCCTCCCTTATGCAGCGACTGATGACATTGTTCCTGGGATCTTCCTTACTGCGCAGGCTTCCCACCACGACCAGAGAGTCACATTCGACTATCACCTTACGTACGCCAAGATTTATCGCGAGCCGTATGCCTTGCAGCACTGCCCAGGCCTCCGCCTCCTCCGCTTGACATCTGCCGATATTATACATGAAGCCTCCACCCCAATCCCCTGGTGAGTCCCTTAGAACACCCCCACATCCTGCTGCCCCACTGCTCTTGCGACAACCATCTACGTTAAGCTTCCACCAGCCAGGGGGTGGTTTCTCCCATGCAGCTCCTGGTTTAGGATCCTTCGCGCTTGGTTTGGTTACGGATCTATGCTTTGCGAATGCCGCTCTGGTCTCCGTGTCGTAGCTTAGAACCCATGCGCGTCTCTGGTCTGTGGGCGTTGTGACCTGTCGAAAAACTGCATTGTTTCGCCATCTCCACAGCCACCAAATCCGGATGCCAAAACTTTCCGGCCAGCCTTCATCAAACCCCATAGTCGCTTCCCTCTTTAGATTCGCCGAGAGCCAGTTTCTCCAATTCAAACCAGAGAGGCGCTCCACCGTTCGCCGTGGTAGTCTAAATATGTGGTCGAGATCCTCCGATTGCCTTGCACAACGAAAACAAGTCGCACCAGTCGTTAAATACTGCCTAACTCGT